TCAGGGAACTTCATTTACAAAACAGACAATAAAAGACCTGATTTATCTTAATGACAGTTTAAATTATAAATCTGTGAGCTTCTAATATACACTATAGTTTTTAAGATACATATTAACAGTTTACTCTACAATGAGGGAAAAATAATCTGAATATGAGAATTCTCTCAGTTACTCAAGTTTATGTTACATTTAGCACCAAGTCATTTATTGTTGCTACAGTATCATCCCCTTTGACTCAAGTGACATCTCGGCTAGGCAGATTCTTGTTAAATGATTTGTATTAAGCTGGGTGCCTCGGTTAACAGGACTAGTCGGGCTCATGTAAATAGCCCCTTAGTTATTAAGACTTGTTGGCAGAGTAAAATATATCAGGCAATAAAACTGGTTTCAACTTGCAACAAATCAGATGTTGGTGCATGTAAGTTGTAGTGTTGTTTTTACAAAGGGAACCAAGTAAATGAAACTTTAACATCTAGTGTATTCTACTATGTACAAGTTGTACAACCCCAAAAATGTAAACAACACTTTGATTTGATTTTAGTTCCATAAATCCATATTTTTTATCCATATTATCAATCCATATTTAATTTGATTTTAGTTCCATAAATCCATAATAATTTAGTTCCATAAATTTGAGTTTAGATCCATAAATCTATTAAGATCTGCAACTGTCCTACATGCACAAATGCCATCCAATGTAATGACCTAGATGATAACAGGAAGCAGTTTTGTTTCTTTAAGGCCTTTGATCAAACAGAAAACACATTTGAAGGTCTTCATGTTCCAACAAATTGCTTTCTGGACTACATCAAGGAAGATACAAAAATTGTTTTTGAGGTTGTGCATTTACTACAGCTTGAAATTTGCCAATTGTGAACTTTCCAACACTAAAAAGAAGAACAGAAAATATTTGAAGGTAGCGCATCTTTAACCATGTGCACTGGACAATATGCTGTGTTGCCAAAACAATTAATCAATATAACTTCTACAAGTTATATTGCTTAAAATCTTTTACACCAAGTACATAAGAACTGAACTGTAAGATACAAGGCTGGTGTTAAATCTAATATTGATGGTAATCATACACAGGAGAAATTACTAATATGTTGCTACACTGAGTAAATTTATACCAGGCAAGTAAGAATGCAGCCCACAACCCCTGGTTTACAAGACCAATGCATTCCAGACTGAGCTACACAGTTTGAATGTGCAATATTTTATTATTTTGGAGCTTAATTAGTCTCGCTCCTTCACTAAGATGGTAAACCTAACAATGCCGATGGTAATTGATAACAGGTGAAATCATTAAGATGGTGCTTGCTGAGTAAATCTACATGAGATTGGTGTGTTGCAATTTTGGGTCATGAACTGTAACTTCTGGCAAATTAGTCTGCTCCACCATCAATTGCTTGATACAGATGTGAACAAATATCGTACTCATTACTGTTACCAGCAATCAAAGTTTAATATCAAAGTTACAAATTATAAACCAGTTCTGGTGAAAATGGATTCTACTCGTGCAGTTTACTTAGTTTAGTCCAAAAACGTTTTTGTTAATTAAGAAAAGAAGCCCAATACAAAGACATCACATCCCCTTTCACTGATCAGGTATATAATTTAGTACGAATAGTAGTACGAATTATAAGGATATTCACAGTATAATTATGCGCCTAAAATTAAAAAAATTCAACCTACTGCGTTCTAAAGAATGACGCATTTTTCTTCAGTTTAAGTGGAATAGTAATTGCAATAGTTTCAAACTACACTCAGAAAAACAACATATAAATGCGTTATATCCATCGGTGCCAAAACAGCACATACAGTTTGCTGCGTTTAAAATGACAATTTTAGCATCATTCAATAAGCTTTTATTATAATAAAATGAATAATCTACCTTTCTTTTGTACGTCCTGAAAATTTCAATGACATCCACCATAAAATAACGACGATATACCCATTTAAAGTTATGAAATACAAGTTTCGCCATATTAGTTTATAATGTTTTGGACCAAAGTTGGTTGCTTTCAACATGGCGGCCAGGATCCGGAAGTAACATGTGCCGGCACAAAAACTTCAAAGGTTCCGACTCGAGTGAACCTTCTGCCCTTCTCTATTTTGTGGTATAGTGTGCATTTGTGTTGTTGTACAACATCAAATACCTGGATTCTCGAGTAATTTCATTTCATATTTACAATATATAACATATTTGTGGTGTTACTCTGAGTGTATATCCACACCGGGCGAGCTTGAAAAATATGCCCGGCCACGGTGGGATTCGAACCAACGACCTTTGGAATACTAGCCCAATGCTCTTCCAACTGAGCTACGCGGTCAGGACGGTTCGAGTAAGTGATATTTTGGAACAGAATCTAGTTCCTTCGATACCAATGTATTCTATTAATATGAATTTTTTCTGTGTTGGTGTAGTGTACTCAGGTGAATATGATATTTGTGGTGTTACTCTGAGTGTATATCCACACCGGGCGAGCTTGAAAAATATGCCCGGCCACGGTGGGATTCGAACCAACGACCTTTGGAATACTAGCCCAATGCTCTTCCAACTGAGCTACGCGGTCAGGACGGTTCGAGTAAGTGATATTTCGGAACAGAATCTAGTTCCTTCGATACCAATGTATTCTATTAATATGAATTTTTCTGTGTTGGTGTAGTGTACTCAGGTGAATATGATATTTGTGGTGTTACTCTGAGTGTATATCCACACCGGGCGAGCTTGAAAAATATGCCCGGCCACGGTGGGATTCGAACCAACAACCTTTGGAATACTAGCCCAATGCTCTTCCAACTGAGCTACGCGGTCAGGATGGTTCGAGTAAGTGATATTTCGGAACAGAATCTAGTTCCTTCGATACCAATGTATTCTATTAATATGAATTTTTTCTGTGTTGGTGTAGTGTACTCAGGTAAATATGATATTTGTGGTGTTACTCTGAGTGTATATCCACACCGGGCGAGCTTGAAAAATATGCCCGGCCACGGTGGGATTCGAACCTACGACCTTTGGAATACTAGCCCAATGCTCTTCCAACTGAGCTACGCGGTCAGGACGGTTCGAGTAAGTGATATTTCGGAACAGAATCTAGTTCCTTCGATACCAATGTATTCTATTAATATGAATTTTTTTCTGTGTTGGTGTAGTGTACTCAGGTGAATATGATATTTGTGGTGTTACTCTGAGTGTATATCCACACCGGGCGAGCTTGAAAAATATGCCCGGCCACGGTGGGATTCGAACCTACGGCCTTTGGAATACTAGCCCAATGCTCTTCCAACTGAGCTACGCGGTCAGGACGGTTCGAGTAAGTGATATTTCGGAACAGAATCTAGTTCCTTCGATACCAATGTATTCTATTAATATGAATTTTTTCTGTGTTGGTGTAGTGTACTCAGGTGAATATGATATTTGTGGTGTTACTCTGAGTGTATATCCACACCGGGCGAGCTTGAAAAATATGCCCGGCCACGGTGGGATTCGAACCTACAACCTTTGGAATACCAGCCCAATGCTCTTCCAACTGAGCTACGCGGTCAGGACGGTTCGAGTAAGTGATATTTCGGAACAGAATCTAGTTCCTTCGATACCAATGTATTCTAGTAATATGAATTTTTTTTTCTGTGTTGGTGTAGTGTACTCAGGTGAATATGATATTTGTGGTGTTACTCTGAGTGTATATCCACACCGGGCGAGCTTGAAAAATATGCCCGGCCACGGCGGGATTCGAACCTACGACCTTTGGATACCAGCCCAATGCTCTTCCAACTGAGCTACGCGGTCAGGACGGTTCGAGTAAGTGATATTTCGGAACAGAATCTAGTTCCTTCGATACCAATGTATTCTATTAATATGAATTTTTTCTGTGTTGGTGTAGTGTACTCAGGTGAATATGATATTTGTGGTGTTACTCTGAGTGCATATCCACACCGGGCGAGCTTGAAAAATATGCCCGGCCACGGTGGGATTCGAACCAACGACCTTTGGAATACTAGCCCATTTTTCAAGCTCGCCCGGTGTGGATATACACTCAGAGTAACACCACAAATATCATATTCACCTGAGTACACTACACCAACACAGAAAAAATTAATATATAACATTTTCAGCAAACTCATTATGCATTTTGTGATGTAGAAAACATGGCACGTATATCAAACTAACTGAAATATCTCAAAAACAAAGCAACAGAATGAAGAAGTTACTCTATAGTTTTTATAGTTCTTTTAAAGAAGACAATAAAAATTTTCGTTTCGTAAGGCACTTTAAACAAATTTGAAAAATGCATTTCAACTAAGTAGTGCCCAAAATCAAGCAACTACAGACAGCTAAATCAAGGTTTTGATAAACACTAGAAAATGTTATGTAAAATGTTCAAATATATACTGGACTTTAAGCTTCTAAATTACAGTATATATAAATATACATACATAGATGCTAATAAATATAAACTAATGTGTTTCGGTCACCAGTTTCTGATAAACTATAAAAGTTTTCCTATACTGAAAAAATAGTCAATAAATTCTTAAACCTGGTTTCCATATGGTCACTGCAGGTGTTGCTATAGAATAAACCATATCCCATCGCCTACTAGCAACACTCAAATGACTACATGAAAACCAGGCTTAACAATATCCTACTGGTTATTTGTTCTTTTTGATTCTGTATTGAGCAGTTGAGTGACTGCTGCTTTCACCTTCTTTTCATCAGCATCAGTCTCCTTCATTATGAATGCTGTGAAAGCAACAGAAAAATATATATAGTTACAAAAAAGTGAAAATCTGTCAGTAAGAAAAGTTATTAACTTCTTTTCGATTATACAGTAAATACTTACAAATGACATCGGCAAACTTCAATGACAGATGTTGATTTCGCGATTTTTAAGTCACATGACCAAAGACCGTGCACACAAATAGGTAATATAATATACACTTGTACACAATTCGACTAGTCATGGTGACATAAATCAGTATAAAGTTTCATCTGGGAAATGCCAGGCGATAATTGCGCTGTGATGGGTTGTAGGATGTGTCGAAGAACTAAAGGTATCGGTATTTTTAAACTCCCAGCGCCTAAGAACGACGAATATAAGGCATGGAGATCACAGTGGTTAAACGAACTCACCAAAACAAGAGTAATTGACAAGAATTTTCGAGCGCAGATTGACAACGACAAGGTATTTACTTGTGAAAAACATTTTAAAGAAGACATCGAAACGTGTAAGTGCCAAGTTTTAAATAATTCTGGTATACAAGCTCTTGTAGTCCCAAATAAAAACAATGTCACTTAAACTAAGGACAATCTACATATTGACCATTGAGTCACACACTACAAAGTATCAAATATATGAATTAATGTTGCAATGGCGTATTTATTAAACGTAGTCACTAGTCAGCAAACTTTTCAAGTAATATATAGTTCTAAATGTGACTTGATCAAAGTGTATAAACATAAAGTATAAAATGAGTCGTGCTGATGCATCATTTTACAAAGTATTAAATACACACATTATATTATTTTGATTTCTACTCAGTAATGCACACGTTTTGATGTGATTCGTACTTTATAATAATAATTTAATGATAAGACAATCATGCACAAACAATCGTAACACTAACAGACTATACATATCTACAATTACAGTAATACATAACATACATTAATTCCCTTTGAACTATTTTAAACTATTTAATTGAAGTACTATAAAACAATGTTAAAACATCGAAGCAGAATTTCTTTACAATTTCTTTGTCCTGCATGAACTTGAGGTAAATATAATAATAGTTTGACAATTTATAATAGTTTGACAATTTAATTATAATAGTTTGACAGGTATGCAGTTGCATTCCTGCATGTTTTGACACAAAAACATGACATGTTTTTCAAGGTAGACGAAGGATCCACAGTTTTCGTAATAATATGCTTACCAATAGATTTGCCAGACAATTATAATATAATATTAATTTTTGTGGGCAGAAACTAGAATGGCAATTTTTCTTTCACCAACTATTATTGTATCCAATTTCCCCTGATGACAGGTGGTCCAGAAATATAAATTATACCTATCACTTTGTCTTCTCAGTCCTAATATATAAAAACCATTTACCTGATTGAGAGTGTGATTGGGTGTGTGGCTACTTTTAGGGAGGTTATTGTCTAACTTTCTAAACTTTTAGATGCGATGTATCACGGTGTATTGAAGATATCTTTCAATGTGCATTAAAGAGAAATTATTCTTGTGAATACAAGCCTCTTTTGAATATTCCTCTATGCAATGTGGTTTTGAATGAGCTTCATTTGATGTAAGACCTCTGGTCTCTCGAAAATGTCTTTTATGCATGTGCTCTATTGTGTATGCAATGATAAAATAACAAATTTGAAGCAAACAATTGCAGTAAATATGGATTACATGATTTTTACTTGCCCCAGGCAAGCGTTAAGTTACACCATACCGGTACAGTATTTGTACAAGGTTGGAAAGTCTAAATTCATGTGGGATGCAAGTTGCCTGCCTACCTCAGAGGTGTTTTAAGCTTTATTATTGGCAATAGCATTTTTGCCAACCTTGTATAAATGGAATACTATACATAAGACAGCATATGCATGAAGGCATTTTGTAGTAATAGGGAATAGCTTTATACCAATATAAGGGAAATAGCTTTATACCAATATAAACATAAATTAATTTGAATAGTATTTTAATTTTGTATATACTATTACTCTTATAGACAAGCTGACCAAGAATCTGGTCATAAATGCCATAGAGAATGACAGGAGGGAAAATTTAAATAAAAGACCAATGGACAGGTCCAACAAGAATTTAGATGCACTCATTAAGTGTATTATAAGTTGTGGCATATATTTTAATGTCTGGGAGAAAGCTGAAGAAGATTGCAGAGGTGGCCTGTATGAATTTACAGGCCTTATGGGGTCAGACAAGCGACTGCTCCTCAAGACTTTACCAAGCAAGCTGGTGACCATACTTCCAGATAATACAAGTGGGACCATTGTCAGACTCTGGCAGGTATTAATTGGGACATTGGCATTATTTTGGGGTCGACCATATACATTTGTTTGTACGATTTATTTGCTCTGTTATATTTTCTAGGAATTTAATGAAATGTATGAAATGATGGGTGTTTTAACTCCAACAGATTAACAAAATGATGCTTGTGATGTTACTCTGAGTGTATATTCACACCGGGCAAGCTTGAATAAAATATGCCTGGCCACGGTGGGAATCGAACCTACAACCTTTGGAATACTAGCCCAATGCTCTGCCAACTGAGCTATGTGGTCAGGTCAGTTCAAGTAGGCATGTAGTAAAACACTGACTACCGGAACACCACCGGAACACCACCGGAACACCACCTAACCCTAACCCCCAACCCTAACCCCCAACCCTAATCCAAACCCTAATCCTAACCCCAAACAAAATGGTGGTGTTCCGGTGGTGTTCCAGTGTTCCGGTAGTCAGTGTTTTACTACATGCCGTTCAAGTATGTGATATTTTGGAACTGAGTCTAGTTCCTTCGATATCAGTGTAATCTAATAATCATATTTGCTGTATTGGTGTTGTGTACTCTGAGTGTATATTCACACTGGCAGGCTTGACTGCTGTGAATATACATTCAGATGAACAAATATCTAAATACTTTGACAAGGTATGTTCTGCTTAACCCTATTAACTAGCAGTACTTTCTCCACTAACAAGTAAAATTGTCCGGTCACTCAGGTTTAGGACAGAGTAAAACACTAAAGTGCAGCAGAGCATTTGGATACTCTTCCACTGATGATTAAAATTGTCAGATATCTGAGTAAAATACTAAATTAGGTGCATTCAATTGTATTGGCTGTTAATCAAGGACTCATAGTTACAAAATATAATTTATGCAATAAAGGTACAATTCAGTTTGTTTATCATTTTAGGCTGTGAATTGGGTTAATTTGTTCCTGTCCTGGCTGTCCATGAATGGAAAGAACTTGGGGTATGAGCCTGCAAGGATCACTCCCTATATGCATGCCATGGTTTACCATGTTCCCTGGTTCATGCAAATGCATGAGGGGATAAATAAGTTTACTGGTCAAGGTACATCATTAATTAATTAATGAAACAATTATTGTGTATATTATGCATAAATTTAATTAGTTCAAAATGTTTTTTAAATTTGCTACTAGGCATGGAAAAACTCAATGATGATTGCAGGTGAGTCCATCTGCAAAGGTCTAATAAATGGAATCCACCAAAAGATGTCCTTCTTGTTGGCAAACAGGTCGAGCAATTTGTCTGACTGTGAATGACTAACACAGCCCTACCAGAAACGAAACACAGATTACTGGGAAAACACAATAAAGAATTGCCGTTCAAAGTGACCCCCGTGTGTCCACACAAATTTATGTAGAACCTGAAGTTCACCTAGAGTTATTGACAGCCAAGCCAAGCCAAATGAAATGAAAACTTAAAGAATTAGGAATTTTGACAAAACTCCGGACCTTACAGAAATTGAAGGAACTTCTCAGAGAAAGCTTACGAAATAAGGAGAACCACAACCAAACAATATTTAAACTTAAATACTAGAAAATACATGCATGAAGAAACCCTCGCCTTGCCGACAAAACCGTTGTATTTTCCGAACATGAAGTACCTAAAGTAGTTGTCATGGTAACACGATAATTTTTTAAGAATATTCTTACAAATGAAAATCGCCTAAAAATATCACTTTTAATTACAAAATTATCAATTTCCCAACATATTTAAGTTAGGTATGTAATTATACGTAATACAAGCTTCAATTTAAGGTAAAATTCAACCACAAACAATTTACAAAACGTTTTAAAGTGTTCTTTATAAAACTAAACTGCCTTTAACTATTAAATGGCTTTATCGATAAACTTTGAGTTTGCAATAAAATGATTTACAATTCTCGCTTGCAAATAACTTTGCTTTATTTTTTATTTAAAAAATTCAATATAATAAAAAAGGGAATCAATATTAAAGATACACTGAAATTATATGCTGTCCTGTTTAGTTGTTTCATATACGCAAAGGCCGTCGGGTTTTAAAGCCATTATAAAATCAATATTTAAAACAAACTTACCTTCATTAACGTCGGATAGGGATAGGATAGATTATTTAATAAGTTACCTTGCAGTTTTACACTGAATTGTGCAACTTTTACAAAAAATTTACAACTTAACTACTTTACTAACTAAAATTTCTTTAAGAGTCAAAGTCTTATTTTAAAAGTTATAAAATCTATATTGTTAGAGATTTTAATAATAATCTACACTAATCATAAAGTGTGTTGGTACTACCACGCATAATAAATGAGTCCGAGAATCTTTTTGTTCTTACTAGTGGTAGTGAAAATTTCCTATTTTTCCTAAGATTGTATTTAGGATTTTTGTTAGCACTTGGAATCAGGTGATGGATTTTATTTTTTGGGTTCTCGGATATGGACTGGAACAGTTTCTTTGTAATTGTGCTGTGGTGGTCTTTAATAGGGGGTATTTCCGCCAATACCAAAGCATCAGAATAAGGTATTCCTGGGAAAATGCACGCTAAAGCTCTCTTTTGGACCTTTTCCAGGTCGTCATGTAGGTAACTTGGTAGAGAGCTATGGTATACTGGGCATGCATAGTCCAAAGAAGATCTAACGCATGCACAATAATATGTAACCAAATCGTTTGATGGTATTTGCGTACGCTTGAGTTGTTTTAAAAAATACAGCTTCCGAGAACTCTTCTTCACTAGTTCCTCAATATGATCGTTCCATGTCAGTTTATCGTTAATCATTAACCCGAGTAACTTTGCTTTGGTTATCCTCAAAATGGGATTTTCGTCTATAATACTAGGTGAGAATTGTGGAGGATGGGGTCGGCTAAAACTTATGATCAGTTCCTTTGTCTTTTCACTGTTTAGTTGCATCAAGTTTTCCTTTGACCATTCATTAACTTGGTCCACTGCCTGTTGTACATGGCTGTGTTGCCCCTTTGATATGGTTTCCGATACTGTAGTGTCATCGACATATTTCCACATGTTGAAAATTTCAGAAACTGACAAGTCGTCAATCATTAGTAGGAATAACCAGGGTCCAAGTTTGGTACCCTGGGGAACACCAGAGGGAATCTTGCCCCAGTCTGATAGGCAGTCCTTACTAAGCTTCACTCGTTGTGATCTATCTGAGAGGAAGTCGATTATCCAATTTTTGATGCTGTTTGGTATACCAATTTCTTTCAATTTGGTGATTAGGATGCCATGATCTATGAGATCAAACGCTTTACGGTAGTCGAACAAAATGACCCGTACTGCAGATCCATTACCGTCTGTAGCTTCGAGCCAGTTATGCACCATACCTATTAGAGCTAACGTAGTGGAAGAACCAGAGACGGTGCCAAATTGATTACGATCTACTTTCTTCTCTAAAGCTGGTCTAATATAGTCTGAAACTACAAAGTCTTCTGCAATTTTAGAAACTGCAGAAGTCAGAGAGATAGGTCGTAGCTCTTTCTTTGGGTCAGTAACTTGCTTTACTTTGGGGAGAGGTGTAATATCTGCCAGTTTCCAAGTTTTTGGTAGTTTTTGTTCTTTGTACGAGGCGTTTATTATATCCGCAATTGGCTGCGCTAGGAACTCGGCATAGTCTTTCAGCATCCAGTTTGATACACCATCAGGACCAGAGGCTTTTTTTTTATTCAGGTGTATCAAATTATTATACACTCGATAAGCTGGTACTTCGAGGAATTCAGGATTTTCTTCCAACGGTAAAAATACATCTGCGGATTCAGGATCGAGAGGTTTTAAAACTTGCAGGGGATCTAACAGAGCTTCGTTGATGGCATTGGCGATTTCTGGGTTTGTCTTGTCATTGTATTCGGGGATGTTGAGGGAACATTGCAAATTTGAATTTTTCTTTTTGGATCCGCTTAACTTGTTGATTTCATCCCACCACTTTCGTTGGTTGACTCCTTTAAGGTCTTTCACCTTAGAGGCGTAATACGCTGCTTTACATCTTTTCCTTTCCTTATTTACTGCATTACGATAGAACTTATATGATAAACTGTTTTTGTTCTTGTGGAAGGCGATCTGGCGCTGGTGTATTAACTTCTTCAACTTTACAGACATCCACGGGGTGTCTGTAGGATAAATCTTTATCGATTTTTCGGGTAAGATGTTTTCCAAACCAATCGTGAAGAGATCATTAAAGACTTTAGATTTGTTTTCGCATGTATTTTGACTATATAAACACGACCAATCAACGCAGGCAAAGTAGCGACCAAGGGCCCTATTGCTTTCTCGCATATCACGAATTGTTACAGTTTTCCGAGTATGCTGATTTGGGATTCTTAATGTTGGTTTTAAGAAAACTGTATTATGGTCCGACAAACCCAACGGAGGGAAACATTCAGGTGTGGAAAAGTGTTTATCCATGTTCGTCAGAATTAAATCAAGTATTGCTGTTCCTCTCGTATGAAATTTAACTAGTTGTTTTAGCTTGAAGTGGTTTTTCAATTGGTTGAGGTTAAGTCGATTGAAATCACCGGTAATGATTATTCCGCAATTCGGAAAGATGGATTCTGCCGTCATCAAACTGTCGAACAGGTGGCTAATGATGTTCGTGGCATCAGATTCTGCTGGGCTTGTTCGGCCTGGATAATAGACAACCGCTAATATGATGCATGAAAAACCCCGAGGAATTCGTTTAAGATTTAGTTTAATCCAAATTATTTCATGATGCTCACAACATTGTAGATCTCCAATGGTTTCATATTTTATATTGTCCTTTAGGTAGATACAGACTCCTCCGTGTTCATGGGAGGTACGATCTTTCCGAATCACATTGTAGCCGTCAATATTCACCACCTTGTCGTCTATGTGATTTTTCAGCCAGGTTTCGACTATACATGCAATTTCGACATTTAGCCGTAAAAGCAGTTCTTGTATTTCAATCAACTTTGGGACCAGAGACATAGTATTTGACAGCATAATGTTAGGAACGAAGCTTGTTTGATTCTCAAATGTTTTCTGGGTCTCAGCTACAGGAATAACAAGTAAATTATTCGTATTTACTCCCCGAAAATCGTTGTAGTTTGAATAAATTTTCCGTGGTTGAGCTATCACG